GAAATTCAGACATTCTACCTTCTGATTCCAAATTTTTTCCTTTAAGTTGTTTAGAACACCTCGAGACAGCCAGTTCACAAACTCCTTCACTTCCTTCTGATCTACAAATACTGAGTATCTATGTGCCAGGCAGTGAACTATTAGCCCTCTCCTGGCTTTACTTTCTTCTTTCCCTTCCTAGCTTAGACTCCACAGTTCATCACTTCTAGCACTCATTTGCTAGCATCTATTGAATTTACCTGGCAAAACCCCAATCCTATGTGATTTCAATTATATCCTTTTGCCATCTCAGTATCTAGCATATGGAATGCTGTTGGAGAAGATCACAAGTTTCACAGATTGGTGCCACTGTCAATTCAAGGTCAGGAACGTCAACTGGGCCCTCAACACTCCCAGCGAGTTGCTTTCCTTGTCAGCACTTTCCTCAATCCCCCAGAGCAACTATATAAAATATTCATATCCCCCTCAAATGGCTACTACTCTGTCTTTGGTCTCAATGTTGCCCACTTTTTCACAGGTAAAACAGAAGCTATCAGATCAGAACTCCACCAAACCTCCATATTCACCTCCATCTGAATCTACCTTTTCCTCTCGTCATAATGTGAAAGGATTCCCTTCACTCACTCAGGGCTATTTCTTTCAATTCATATTTCTAAATCCCATGTTTATATACCATTTCAAGGACTTCATGCTTTAATCTCTCTCTTTTGTATCACTAACTTTTTTAGAAATCCTTTCCCATCAGCATTTAAATGTGCTCAAATCTTTAAAAAATAACGACCCTCTCACAACCTTACAATCACTTTAGCAAGTAATGATCCTCTCTATTCTTCCTTATGGCAAAACATTCTAGAATATAGGCTCAAGGGAATAGGAGGTAGATCTGTTCAACTTGTTGCTATATCCCCCAAGCTTATCAGCACAGTAGTTTTAATGAGCAACACAATAAATGGTAAATAAATGAATGGAAGCATTCTATTTGCTGTATCAACTTTCTTATAAATACTATTTTAAAACTAACTATAATCTGACTTTCACCCTACTGTACTCCTGATAAAGTATTCCTGATAAAGTTACAAATGACTGCTTTATCATCAAATCAAATAGATTCTGCTTTATTTCATGGTGGCAATTAACAATTTAGACCGTTACTCCCTTCCCTTAGGTTTTCCTACTACTTTTCTTATAAATACAACTTTCTATAGAACTGCTTAACTTCATAATGGTTTTTTGTTTTGTTGTTGTTTGTTGTTGTTGTTGTTGTTTGGCAAGAATGTACCATAAATTACTAATCTATTTCCTTCTTTTGGAATTTGGTTTGTGTCCTGTGATCTGTTGGTTCTCTGCCACAAGTACCTCAAACTAGGCTACCTACCTCTCCCTCAGTAACTATCCTTGGGATCTCTTCTTTCCACCAAGCCTCGATCTGAAATGAGACTTTTGTCTCTTTAGCTCCCTTCTTCTTGCTGAACCAAAAGACAAATCCATAATGGTTCCCTTTCATCTGAAGTTTTATTACTAATCACTATATGAAAACATGCAATATTTATATATCGAGCATATACTAAGTTTAAAGCATTGTGCTAGGCTGGAGGTAAGGCAGTAACTGACACAAACATAGTCTCTGTTTTGAGCTTCATGGACTTATACTGTAGAAATAAAGATAAACTGTAATTACTGAACTAATTAAAACTAAGATATATATCAGAAGGTGACAATGGGACCTGTTCATTGTGTGGAGTGGAGAGAGTGATATGATGGTGATCATGTTATGTTTGAGAAGGCTTCTTCTGCAGGTATCTAGATAAAAGAGAGGAGGAGCTGGAAAATGCTGCAAATACAAAAATGGGAATCACAATGGTGAATATGAAAAACTGAAAAAGCCAGAGAGGTTAAAGTATAAACACCTAAGGGAGAGGTGTGTGCCAGGTGTGGCTGTGGCCAGATCACTGGGGCCTTCTCGGCTATTTCAAAATTTTTGTTTGATACCAAAAGTTATAGAAAACTACTGAAGACTTTTAAGTAGAAGGGTGACATTAAATTTTATAAGATCATGGCTATAGTGTAGACCATAAATTATAAGGGGATAAAAGTAGACAGAAAACCAATTAAAGGCTACCAGAAAAGAGATGATGGTGGGCTTGGTCTAAAGAAGTAACAGTACAAATGATAAAAGTGAGTAATTTTGAGATATATAGGAGGGACTTGGTAGGCTCAAAAGGACTAATGCTTGGATACTGACAGTGTGGGAGAGAGCAATGTCAGAAATGACTCCCAGGCCTGTGCAACATGGCAGACTGCATTGCTGATAGCTGATACAGGGAACACTGGCAGAAAGCTGGGTCATTCTTTTTTGTTGTCAGGCAAAAGTAGAGTTAGCATTTCTGAGTTCAGTTTTGGAAATGTATTGATGTAGCTGGGAAACACCCAATAAAGGTCAGGAATGTTAGAAGAAAGGTCTTGCCTTTACAACTAGGGAGTTATTAATATGTAGATGGTTGTTGAAGTCATGGGTATTGCTAAAATTGCCTAGGAAAAAGTATATGAAAAAAGAGCCAAGCCTAAAGGACCAGCTACATTTAAAGGTCAGGTGGAGAGGATAAGTTGACAAATGAGCCTTAGGAAAAACAACCAAAGAATAAAGAGAACAACCAGAAATTGGAATTATGGACCTTAAGAGACTTTTAAGAGCTGTCAACAGTGTTAGGTGCCAGAGCAAAGCAAATAGCCTGAGGACTAAAAATTGTCCTGAGGAAATGGAATTCAGAGCACAGATGAAAGAATCCACTTTAGACAGGAAGAGGGACTTACCCTACTGAAAGGAAAGAAAGAAGATGTACACCAGTATAGGCAGCTGAAAGAGTTCTCAACTGATAATTCCATTTTGTTTTGTGAAACAGAGTGAATGCTGAACAGAGTGAATATAGATGTTAGAATTTCTGTAGTTTGAAGAGAGCCAAGAATCTAGGTTAAAAAGAAGTCTGTGATTTATTCTTCAATGCATGAAGTGGAATGGTTGGGAGGTTGCAGAAGATAATCACAGGAGAATAGGGAAATAGAGCTAGACTGCATGAGTCTCAAAGAAGTCCATATTTTTACAAGAATTGGGGTTAATAATAACCTGAAGTAGCAACAAGAAGAGATGACACTAAAAGTGCCTGCAACCCTGAGGGATTGGGGTTTGAGAAATAAGTAGCTACTTTTCTAGAGATAGATCCAAAAGAAGTAGTATGCCCAGATAAGAATCAGGTTTTCATTAAGGCAAAATGTTAGGAAAAGATAGAAGGATATGGGAAGGAGGGAAAGAATGAGAAGTTAAATCAGCAAAAAAAGAAGTACTAAACATCATGGGAGTGAGAGAGTGAAAGGGAGCAGATGTGGAAAGAAGGCAGTAGTTACTCTTTGGACACTGCCCATGAAAAGTGAGGAAGATTAAGAAAACAAAGGTAGCAAAGCAAGTTACAGAGTTGATAAATTCTATGACAGAATTCCAGGTCTACAATTCCTGTTCCCTTCTGAGGTGGTAAATAGAAGTGCATTGCTCTGGATGTGTCTAATATTGTAGATCAAGTAACACCCAATTCAGTTTGGTTCACTGTGTACTCACCATATTGGACTGTCACAAACTTCTGTCCTATACATGATAATGTTGGGGCATGATCTGACACATTCGGAGCAATGACAAAAATCTCTAAAATAAAGATGCTCCATTCAAAAGTTATGCCCTTGATTGAGGCTCTTAGATATAGAGTTTTTAATATTGTTGTTTGGAAAAAGCAAGTTATTGTCTTATGGTCATAGTAATACATTCAAAATAACTTTTTTGCTCAATTTCTTCTGTGTAAAAAGCTGCCCAGTTTTATCATAACGCCACATTTCAAAACCCTCATTTTACGTTTTAGTCTACACACCATCAAAACATTTCAAATACCTGTATCATATTATCAGAGAACTTTTAATTCAGAAGAGACTTCAGGGTTGAGGCTGCCAACCTGTACACTTGAGAACTTCAAGAAGCTGCACAATTCATTAAAGGAGATCTACAAATCCATACCCATGTCAAGCACTGTTCTTGGTCTGAATAAATGTTTCATGCCTATATGTTATTAATTTTGAAATATATGTAAACACTTTCATAATTAATTTTAAAAGGAAATTTAAATAAAATCTCCATATTCAAAGAGGTTGGGAAGGTACTGTCTTATGGATTATCTTGTACCACCTACCAGTCTACACAGATATTACCTCTTCTCTATAAGTCTTGACAGACTGTTATCCAGCTGCAACCATGAGATGAGGTCATTAATTCATATAAGTAGCTGGAACATTTTCCATACCAGTAAGTATACCTCTTTGTGAGGAAACTCGTTACATTTTTAGACAGCTCTCATTTTGACAGACATACTTTCTTTCCTATAACTTCTAATGCTCTACAATTACTCAGAATTAGTTTCATCCATTTTGCCCATGAAAACCCCTGAAAGTACTTGAGACAGTTATCATATCCTTCCTAAGGCTTTTTTCTCACAATCTGTCCCTTAATCAGACGTAACATGGTTCCTCATTCTACCACTCTTTCTGCCCCTTCAGCATGTACCTATTTGTCAATGCCCCTCTTAAAACTCAAGGCACAGCACAGTACACCAGATTTGACCTGCCTATGGCAACAGACAGTAGACCTATTACATTCCTTGAACAAGACACCAGGATTTTTAAAACCCTGTAGTCAACTCAAATACTCAAGACTTAAGCCAGGTCTCTCCCACCTTGTTTTTGTACATAAGTTTTTTGTAGTCAACTGTCCATTATATCCTACCTTGCTACTGTATTTCAGTCTGTTAATGTCTCAGAATCTTGATTTTTGCCATCTAACATATTAGCTAATTGTCCCAATTTTATGTCATTTGTAAATTTGATGAAAGAGTTCATTCTACAGTGAAACTTATTCATTCTTGGCACTTAAATGATCTTTCCTTGCTTAAATGACTAATGACATTACATTAGGAGGAACATTAATTTTTTTTATATTTAGTATGTCATTTACATAATTCAAGACATTATACATTCACAATTATTCTATACTTACCTAGCAATAGCTCTGATGAAGTCTAAAGATACTGTGCATTTGTATTTTGGTCCATCAAGTTGATCATCATGGCCAACCAGAGTTAACAGCTGCAAGGTGACTAGAGAGGAAATCTAAAAGAAAGAAAGCATTATTATGAGAAAATGCTGTAATGAGATTACATGCTGTCCTTGTTTCTGAAACATTTTATAGTTCTTTTGATACAGATATAATTGATTTCACAAGAATATCTGCAGAGAATGACTACTTTGAAATCTGTATACATAAATCAGTATATATGCTTAAAGGCCTAGTTAATCAAACTAACAATCAGTCTTTAAGGTTTCCATTAGAGACAGATTTGTTTCGTTAATTACTCACACATGACTGCTAACTTTTAAAAACTACAAATAAAGCACATTCCTTCTCTACATGAGAATTTTATGTAGTCTCTACCTAAATGCCTCAGAATATCAAATCTACACCCACTTGAAAATCAAGCTGGTAAAATGTGGATGTGGGCCTTTTTCAGAGTTGGGTCGCTGATCAGACGAGGAATAAGAAATACATCCTTGGGGAACTCAGGTCAAGATGGCGTAGAAGATAGATACTGTGCTTCCTTCCTCTTGCAACCACACCAAAATTCTGAGGAAACTACGGAACCATGATCAGGAGTCGCCTGAGGTCTGGCTGAACAGAAGTCTTACAACTGGGGACATACATAAGAGGTCACCTCAAGACTGGTAGGAGAGATGGAGACACAAAATGGCCAGGTCCCACAACCATGTGTGGAGGTCGAGAATCAGGAGGGGTATGTTAGCTTTAGAGATTCCTCCACACTGGAGGAGTGAGGCGTCCCGGCTCCACACTGGGCCCTCCAGCCTAGAGTTCCACTGCTGGAAAGAGAAGTCCCCACAACCTCTAGCTGTGAAAACCAGCAGAGATTGTGGCCGAGAGAGATAGAGGGTTGCAGGAGTTGCAGATGTTCTTCTTAAAGGGACTATGCCCAGACTTACTCGGCCATCTAACATATTACCTAATTACATTACATTAGGAGGAACATTAATTTTTTTATATTTAGTATGTCACTCACTCACTCACTCTGAGCTTCAGCGCTAGGGCAGCTGCTCAAAGAGTGCTAAGGACATATTGAGAGGAAATGAGTTGTAGGGCTTCGGGGCAAGGGCTGGAGGGGAGGCTTTCTCCAAGACAGAAGTGCTGGCAGTATTCATTGTTCCTTTGTTGAGCCCTCCCCCTTTCCAGCATGTGGATGCAGGTGGCCACCATTTCTGAGTCTCCATCAATCTGGTTAACATAGGTGGCTCCACCCAGGTGATTCCCTGAGACCCCACCTCTCCCAACTTGCCAATTCACCCAAGCTGCTCCCAGTGGTTTATTCCATACAAATGGCTTGTCTTAGCTCATGCTGTGGACTTTCCTAAAATCTCTCAAAGGTTCACAAAACCCAAAGCAGCAGCACCTGGCCTCAGCGTGCCCTGTACCTCTTGCTGAGCAACCCCAATCCCGGAACTAGCAGCAGCCGGCCTCAGCACCTGGCTTGGTCTCTCAGGGTGCCTATAAACCCAGCACAGGTGGCAGCTATCTGCAGATTGCTTGGTGCCTCTTACCAGGTGGCCTCGGAAGTGCACAGGCTGTAGCTAAACTTGGCCTGCAGCTGGGTGCCTCTCAGAAGGCCCTTAGGCCGGCATAACCAGTGGTTTGCTTTAACCAGTGCCAGAGACAAAGCACCGACCAGGGCAGAATATGAGGAGGACGCATCTGAAGGGAAGATTGGGCAGGCACCAAAGCCCTGCTAAAGTGAATCTAGCTCCGCAGAGTCAGCTCCTCACTGGCCAATCCTCACACCCAATCAGTCCAAGGGTTATCCCTCCCATCGACATGCAAAAGCAATCAAGGCTCAACTACAACAGGAAGGTGCACACACAACCCACACAAGAATCACATCTTGAGCACCTTGCTTAGGGAAGACTGTGCCACTGAGCCCCACAGCACACCTACTGTATAAAGCCACTCTACTAAGACTGGGATACTTAGGAGCCCTACCTAATACATAGGAAGAAAAACAGAGTGGCAGCCAAAAAGGGGAGACAAAGAAATATGTCCCATCTGAAAGAACAGAACAAAGCTCCAAAAGAAGAAGTGAACAAAGCTCCAAAAAAAGAATTTAACAAAATGGAGACAAAGTATCTACCAGTTATAGAGTTCAAAACACTGGTTATAAGAATCTCAATGAACTTAGAGGAAGAGTAGATGAACTCAGTGAGAACTTTAAGAGATAGAAAACATAAAAATGGAGATGGAAAACATAAAAAGGAACCAGTCTTAAGTGAAGAACACAACATCTGAGATGAACAGCACATTAGAGAGAATCAACAGATTGGATGAAGCAGAGGATTGAATCAGCGATTTAGAGGATGGGGTAGTGGAGGACATCCAAACAGAACAGCAACAAGAAAAAAGAACCCCCCCGCCATGAGAATAGTTTAAAGCAGGGTTCCCCAACTGCTGGGCCATGGACCAGTACCAATCCATGCCCTGTTAGAAGCCACGCCGCACAGCAGGAGGTGAGTGGCAGGTGAGCAAGTGAAGCTTGTATCTGCAGCCATTCCCCAGAGCTAGCATCACAGCCTCAGCTCCACTTCATATCATTAGGCAGGCATTAGAATCTCATAGAAGATCCAGTACCTGGTGCCAGAAAGGTTGGGAACCTCTGGTTTAAGGAACTTCTGGGATAACATCAAGCATAACAATATTCACATCATAGGAGTAGCAGAAGGAGAAGAGAGAGAACAAGAAATTATAAATCTATTTGAAGAAATGATGATAAAAAACTTCCCTAACCTGACAGGGAAATAGACATACAAGCCTAGGAAGCACAGAGAATCCCAAACAAGATGAACTCAAAGTGGCCTACTCCAAGGCACATCATAATTAAAATGGCAAAGGTTAAAGACAAAGAATCTTAAAAGCAGAAAGAGAAAAACAATTAGTTACCTACAAGGGAGCCATAATAACAGAAACTTTGCAGACCAGAAGGGCTTTCATGAAATATTCAAAGTGATGAAAACCTAGGACCTACAACCAAGATTACTCTACCTAGTAAAGCTATAATTTAGAATGGAAGGACAGATAAAGAGCTTTCCAGACAAAAAAAAGCTAAAGGAGTTCATCACCACCAAACCAATATTACAAGAAATGTTAGAGACACTTCTTTAAAAAGAAAAAAAAAAAAACAAAACCAAAGATGTATAAAAAATGGCAATAACTACATATCTATCAACAAGTATTTCATATGAAAAATAATTAAGTGTTCCAATCCAAAGATAGGAAGTCTGAAGGTATAAGAAAACAAGACCCTTACATATGCTGCCTACAAGAGACTCACTTCAGTTTAAAACACACACACACAGTTTGAAAGTAAAGGAATGGAAAGAGATATTTCATGATGGACCTAGGAGATATGTGCTGAATGGAATAAGTCAGATAGACAAAGACAAATACCATATGATTTCATGTACATGTGGAATCCAAAAAACAAAATAAACAAATAATACAAATTCAGAGATATATTTTGAGGGTTATCACATGTGAAGGGGGTTGTGGGGGGGTCAGTGAAAAAGGAGAAAGGGATTATGAAGCTCAAATAGGTAGTTAGAAAATAGTCATATAAAGTATAGTATAAGGAATATAGTCAATAATGTTGTAATAACTATGTATGGTGTCGGATGGGTATTAGATTTACTGGGGTGATCACTTTTTGAGTTTTATAGATGCTTAATCACTGTTGTACACCTGAAACTAATATAATATTGTATGCCAAGTATAATTGAAAAAAATATTATTAAAAAAATACAGTTTTAAAGCTTAGTCTTGCTTTAAAACTGATCACCAATTAGGTAGTCAGGAAAACACCAGAAGGATTAATCCAAACTAAAACGCACCAAAGGTTTGCTACCACAAGATCCCTACTCACTTAAGGAAATTCTTAAACTGTATCTCCAGGTAGAAGTGATCTGTTAGAAGGTCTGAAATGCAAGAAGGAATAAAGAATGAAGAAAGTGGTAAATATCATGTTAAATCTAAATGAACTTGCCTATATAGATAACAATAATGTATTATGAGTTTAAAAAATAGGATAAGTGCACAATAACAGTAATATATAAATTGGTAGTAGAGAAAATAAAGTTAAAATGTTCTAAAGACCTGAGGTGTCTGAAAAATAAAAATACTCATTAAATTTCAAGTTTAATAATTTAAGTATGAACATATACTCAAAGTATAACTTTTAAAGTAATAACTAAGAGAACAGAAACAAGAGTATGTACTTCTAAATTAGTAGAGGGGGAAAACTGAATTATAAAAATAATCCAAAAGAAAATACGAAAAAAACAAAAACAAGTAGGCCAAATAAAAAGTATAAAACAAGATAATAGATATATACAAAAGTATATTAGTAATGATATTAAAAGTAAACTAAATGCTGCAAATAAGACATACTGAGTGACAAAAAAAAGTAAATCCAACTATATACTGTTTAAAACAAGAATATGGGAAGGTTAAAAGTCATGAGTGAATGAGATACATGAAATATTAACAAAAAGAAAAATGAAGGTATATTAACAGACAAAACAGATTTAAAAAGAATTAAAGAAAGTTTCGCTTAATGACAAAATGCAGGCCCTAAGCTCTCTTTCAATGAGTTGTTTGAAACTTTTACTATGAAAGAATGAGACACAGAATAGGACGGGGAGCCAAGGAATAATGAGATCTTTGGGGTTGGGGGAAATAAATACTGCTGGAAGTCAAGACAAACTTGTATCTTTCCCAGTTTGGAAACAAGTAAGAATCATAATGAAAGTAGGCCCCACATTTTAACAAATGGAAAGATAAATAAATGTATATATGTATATATATGAAACTTTATATATATATAAAGAGTTAACAGTCTCCTATGGCAAAATAATATTCATTAACTTCAATCTTTTCTATTGTTCTTTAAGGAATTCATTTGCTAAAGCAGGTTAGTAATAGTCACTTGAAACTAATACATTAATCTCCCGTTATTATTAAAGGCAAGTTTCTTAGTAGTTCTTTTTCTTTTAACATAGAAGAA